ACACTTGTTTCACATTGTGCTTCTTTATGTGTTTCCTCATCCTCTTGGGCTTCTTCATTTTCTCCACTTGTGTCAAGAGTGCTCTTTGTTTTTTCCTCCATTAGAAGTTTCTCATAAATTTCATTATCGTACTCATTTCCATTTTCGAATACTTTGAATGAATGAATCCCGGCCTTTGACATGAACTTTTTGGCACCTGAGTAGTAGATGTATCCCTGATGCAGATTTTCAGAGTAGCCTAGAACTTGCTTCTCAGTCTCTTCCCAGGTCCTGTAGACACCAACTTGGTAGCCTCTTGCCACAGCATAGTAGCCCTTTTTCTTCGAAGAATTCCTTTTCTTGGTCATTTTCAGATGCTAGTAGAGATATTTTGTACCAACCACGTAATTTCAGAACAGATAGGAGAAGATATACGAGTCAAGTTCTTGCAGCATTTCAACTTTCAACTTTCAAGTGATGTCAGCTTTCCACCTCCTTGACCTACTTTCAGCTCTCCATTGTTCTTTGTCCTTAATGTCCAAAAGTTTGAACTTCAAAAATCAGACTTCCAAGAAGTGCTGCTGTTAATCTTTTACCACAGAAAGGTTCTATATATACTCACAATAGTTCTCCATACTTCAAATCATACATTTGAAGACTTTGCCAGATGAAAATTAAGAAACAAACACACAAGAGGAGTCAGTGTTGTTTCACCTCACTTGACCTTGACCATACCTTGATAATGTATGTGTAACATATTTTGCCGGAACAATAAATAAGCACACAATAACAGTGTCAATACACATGGGCCCCTGTCGTTAACTAAGGGCCTCTAAGCAAAGAAGGTAAAGAGAAGGGAAAAGCAAGGGAAATACCCGTACAAGTACCCTTAGTAGGTGGTAGGCGAGGCAGGGGGAGGTAATAGATCCACCCAGCTCGATCAGACTGCATGCAAAGAGGAATTTGCTACGCCATGGAAATGTTGGTTGTCTTTTTCTTTTGTTTATTTACTGTCTGTGTCTCACCCTCTCTAATTGTTTTACCAAATCCACTTATGCATTGTAGATGTATTAAATATAATATTCCTTAAAGCAGTACAACCTACCCTTCTCTGTCGGGTATCGCACAAACTGCACGCACGACTGCTTTTGGCATAAAAATGGGTCATACTTTACGAGACAACGCGTATCAAGGCTGTTTAATAATCTGTTGGCGTGTTGTATAATGGCAACTTGATGTAATGCGCCAGAAATCAACACGCCATGATGATGACTGAGTGAATTTTATAACATCTTAATCAGTATGTGCCGATGAAAACATACATACAATTGTAATATTGGGATTTTAAAACACCCCAAAGCATACTGCTATCCGACAGATAACATGCAGTCTATTAGATAAACGTGTCTCTTGAAAATAGCTGCAGCATTCTTTAACCACTGAACAGTAAAACGACCGGTGGTGAATCTAGTATGTTCCTCAGTGTTGTATCAGTTATTTAATCCTGTATCTTGGAAACTCAAAGGTGGTTGCCATTTACTATTGGAATACAATCTTCAGTTTAAGGGCTTCATTATGAAATAAAGTTAAATTCACCTATTTTTCAAACTGTTTTTTACCTCCATAACACAAATATCTGGTGGATAACAAATGTGAAAATCCAAGATGGCCGCCATTAGCCATGTAGGTATACTAGTACACGGGGCTTCAATTACTGGCAGTAAAGAATATATGGAGTCCATAATAAAATAAATTTGAATTCAGTGTTCCGCGTGTTATTCACATCTTTATTCCATGATATATTTAATATATGATAAGCTTTTGTATTTTGTATTTTGAAAAAAAAAATAATTGTCAATTAATTGTCATAGGAATACCGATTGGCAAGAATACTAATTTTTCAATTTCCTTTAAGAACATAGTTAAGCCGACGGAAGAAAAACGTAAAATTCTTTAAAGATTATTTCCTCTTAATCAAAACACGGAAGTGACTTTTATATTGGCCAATTTCGTCCGCACATTAGCATATCATCACAACATAGCCTGCAGTTAACCTTCGTACGATTTTAAATGCATTTTGGAATATAATTTCCAATCTGTCAAATGGAGCATTTCAATCTGCCAAATGGATTTACCTTTAATACATACAATCAATGGAACATTTCCAGTATACCTTCTCAAAAAGCCACCAAAAAGCAAATTAAATAAACGTCCAATTAACCAGACGGTAAACACAAGTAAGCTTTGTCAGTTTCAAGATTTGTTAATTTGTTTATTTCGAACAGAGCACTTTTTGCGTATTCGCAGTTATTTGTATCCAGTGATGGTTACTCTAACTCTATGGGACCTTGAAGTTATTGATTCTATGGGACCATGGAGTTATTGATTAGCAATTAGCAATTTCAAAATGGCGGGTGGCGGCCATCTTGGATTTGAGGCACAAAATCGCCACCAATTGCTTCCAAATTATCAAAAATGGGTTCCTTGTCCCTAATTTAGACAGGTTTGATAATCTATACATGTTTCTAGACCAAAAATTAATGGAAATATGAAATATTATGTATTTTGGCACCTAATTTGCATAATTTATGCTAATTTATGCA